AGACAGGGTGGATGTGGTTATAATAGACAGCAAGGTTTCCGTAGTAATCAAAACAACCTGTCATGTATGGACTTATGGCATTGGTTACTTAGCCATGGTGTCCCCAGGAATGAAATAGATAAGAAACCTACTAAATATTTACATGATCTATACAGGCAAAATAATGCTAGATCAGGTGAACAGCAGAATATACAGTCACGATCACTCAGTCAATTCCCAGACCTGAGCTAGGTTACAGACCCACAACCCCTTGAATGAGGGGAAGGCCAGGTCCCTTTGAAGGAGGACCCTGCTACATCAGCGAAGGTCTATACTGTTAGTCTTTCTTCTAGCCTTCCCCAAAGGGACCTGCGGCCTTTCACAAGAGTGACTGTTCATTGGGGGAAAGGAAATAATCAAAATTTTGGGGGCTTACTGGACACTGGCTCGGAACTGACACTAATTCCAGGAGACCCAAAGTGTTTCGAAGGCCCGCCTGTCAGAGCGGGGGTTTGTGGAGGTCAAGTTATCAATGGGGTTTTAGCTCAGGTATGCCTCACTGTGGGTCCAGTGGGCCCCCGGACCCATCCTGTGGTTATTTCCCCAGTTCCAGAGTGCATCATTGGAATAGACATACTTAGTAACTGGCAGAACCCCCATATTGGATCCCTGAAATGTGGAATAAGGGCTATCATGGTAGGAAAGGCCACGTGGACACCATTAGAACTGCCACTGACTAGCAAAATAGTAAACCAAAAGCAGTACCGCATTCCTGGAGGGAATGAAGAGATCAGTACCACCATCAAAGACTTGAAAGATGCAGGGGTGGTGATTCCTACCACATCCCCATTTAACTCACCTATTTGGCCTGTAAAGAAGACAGATGGATCCTGGAGAATGACAGCGGATTATGGTAAACTTAACCAGGTGGTGACTCCAATTGCAGCTGCTGTTCCATATGTGATTTCATTGCTTGAGCAAATCAATACTTCTCCTGTTTCTTAGTATGCAGCTATTGATCTGGCCAATGCCTTCTTCCCAATACTAGTCTTGAAGGACCACAAGAAGCAATTTGCCTTCAGCTGGCAGGGGCTACAATATACACTTTCACAACTCTGCCCCAGGGGTACATCAGCTCTTCTGCCCTGTGCCTTAATTTAGTCCAAAGGGACCTTGATCGCCTGTCTATTCCTCAAAATGTCACACTGGTCCATTATATTGATGACATTATGCTGAATGGACCCACTAAGGATGTGTCAAAGACTCTAGATTCACTGGTACAACATCTGTATACAAGAGGTTGGGAAATTAACCCGATGAAGATTCAAGCACCCTCCACCTCAGTAAAATTTCTAGGGGTGCAGTGGTGTGGGGCATGTCGAGACATTCCTACTAAAGTGAAGATTAAGCTATTGCATCTGGCCCCCTCAACTAAACCGGAGGCACAATGCCTAGTGGGCCTCTTCGGATTTTGGAGGCAACATATCCCTCACTTGGGTGCTCTACTTGGACCTATTTATCACATAACACGAAAGGCCTCCAGTTTTGCATGGGGCCCAGAACAAGAAAAGGCTCTGCAACAGGTTCAGGCTGCCGTGCAAGCTGCTTTGC